TTCTGGGGTCCTCTACCAGTCTCTGTATGTGGGGGGGTCAGTTCAAGGTCTCCTCTACCAGTCTCTATGGTGGCGGTCAGTTCAAGGTCTCCTCCACCACCAGTCTCTATGTGAGGTGAGCGGTCAGTTTAGGTCTCCTCCACCAGTCTCTGTGAGGGTGAGTGGTCAGTTCTAGTATCCTCCACCAGTCTCTATGTGAGGGGTGGGCGGTCAGTTCAAGGGTCTCCTCCACCAGTCTCTATGTGGTGGTCAGTTCCAAGGCTCCTCTACCACCAGTCTCTATGTGGGGAGGTGGCGGTCTTCGGGTCTCCTCCTAACCAGTCTCTATGTGAGGTGAGCGGTCAGTTCTAGGTCTCCTCTACCACCAGTCTCTATGGGTGGTGCTGGTCAGTTCAAGTCTCCTCTACCAGTCTCTATGTGGGGTGAGCGGTCAGTTCTAGAGGTTCTCCTCTAACACAGTCTCTTTGTGGGTGGTGCGGTCAGTTCCAAAGGGTATCCTCCACCACCAGTCTCTATATGTGGGGGTGAGTGGTCAGTTCTAAGGGTCTCTCTATTTTCTGTGGTGGTCGGTCAAGTCTCCTTCACCACCAGTCTCTAATGGTGAGGTCAGTTCAGGATCCTCCTACCAGTCTCTATGTGGGGTGAGGTCAGTTCAAGGATCTCCTCCACCACCAGTCTCTATGTGGTGGGTCAGTTCCAAGGTCTCCTCCACCACCAGTCTCTATGTGGGGGTGAGCGGTCAGTTCAGGGTCCTCCCTTCACCACAGTCTCTATGTGGGTGGTGGTCGGTTCAGGGTCTCCTTCACCACCAGTCTCTATGTGGTGGCGGTCAGTTCAAGGGTTTCCTCACCACCAGTCTCTATGTGAGGTGTGGTCAGTTCAAGTCTCCTTCACCACCAGTCTCTATGTGGTGGCGGTCAGCTCAGGGTCTCCTCACCACCAGTCTCTATGTGAGGTGTGGTCAGTTCAAGGTCTCCTTCACCACCAGTCTCTATGTGAGGTGAGCGGTCAGTTCAGGTCTCCTCCACCACCAGTCTCTATGTGAGGGTGTGGGTCAGTTCAGGGTCTCCTCCACCAGTCTCTATGTGGGATGGGCGGTCAGTTCAAGGGCTCCTTCACCACCAGTCTCTATGTGGGGGGTGAGGTCAGTTCAAGGGTCTCTACAGTCTCTGTGGTGGCGGTCAGTTCGTCTCCTTCCACTCTTGTGGTGGCGGTCAGGGTCTCCTTCACCACCAGTCTCTTGAGGGTGAGCGGTCAGTTCAAGGTCTCCTTCACCACCAGTCTCTATGTGAGGTGGCGGTCAGTTCCAAGTCTCTCTCCAATCTCTATGGCTCAGTTCTGAGGTGTCCCACCAGTCTCTGTGGCAGTCGCTCAAGGTCTCTCTCACCACCAGTCTCTATGTGAGGTGAGCGGTTAGCGGTCTCCTTCACCACCAGTCTCTTTGAGGTGGCGGTCAGTTCTAAGTCTCCTCACCCGTCCTGTGGTGGGAGTCTCACCAGTCTCTATGGATGTGGGTCAGTTCAAGGGTCTCCTCCACCACCAGTCTCTATGTGGGTGGTGCGGTCAGTTCAGGGTCTCCGTCTATGTGGTGGCGGTCAGTTCCAGGTCTCCTCCACAGTCTCTTATGTGGGGGTGAGCAGTCAGTTCCAGGATCTTCCTTCCACTAGTCTCTATGTGGGGTGGTGCGGTCAGTTCAAGGGTCTCCTCCACCACCAGTCTCTATGTGTGAGGTGGGCGGTCAGTTCAGGTCTCACCACCAGTCTCTATGTGGGTGGTCAGGTCAGTTCAGGGTCTCCTCCACCAGTCTCTGTGGGGGGCAGCGGTCAGTTCCATGGTCTCCTTCACCAGTCTCTATGTGTGGGGGTGCGGTCAGTTCCAGTCTCCTCTGTCTCTATGGGTGGCAGTTCAGTCTCTCCTACCAGTCTATGGGGTGACGGTCAGTTCTAAGTATCTCCTCACCCTCTCTATGTGAGGTGTGTCCGGTCTCTAGTGGTCAGTTCAGGTCTCCTCCACCACCAGTCTCTATGTGGGGGGTGAGCAGTCAGTTCTAAGGTATCCTCACCACCAGTCTCTGTGGTGGTGGTCAGTTCAGGTCTCCTCCCACCACCAGTCTCTATGTGGGGGGTGGCGTCAGTTCCAAGGTTTTCCTCACCAGTCAGTCTCTATGTGAGGTGAGCGGTCAGTTCTAAGGATTATCTCACCACCAGTCTCTATGTGAGTGGTCAGTTCAGGGTCTCCTCCACCACCAGTCTATGTGGGGGGAGTGGTCAGTTCAGGGTCTCCTCCACCACCAGTCTCAGGTGAGTGGTCAGTTCCATGGGTTTCCTCACCACCAGTCTCTATGGGAGGGTGAGCGGTCAAGTTCAAGGGTCTCCTCCACCACCAGTCTCTATGTGAGGATGGTGGTCAGTTCAGTCTCTCACCCACCAGTCTCTATGTGGGTGGTGGTCAGTTCAGGGTCTCCCTCTACCAAGTCTCTATGGGTGGCGGTCAGTTCAAGTCTAGTCTCTATGTGGGGGTGGGGGTCAGTCAAGGTTCTCCTCACCACCAGTCTCTGTGGGGTGGCGGTCTGTTCCAGCCGGGGCAGTCAGTTCTAAGGGTCTCCCTCTACCAGTCTCTATGTGAGGTGGGCGGTCAGTTCCGGGTCTCCTCACCACCAGTCTCTATGTGAGGTGTGGGGTGGCGGTCAGTTCAAGGTCTCCTCCACCAGTCTCTGTGGTGGCGGTCAGTTCTAAGGTCTCCTCCTACCAGTCTCTATGTGGGGGTGGCGGTCAGTTCTAAGGGTCTCCTCACCAGTCTCTGTGGGGGTGGCGGTCAGTTCTAGGTCTCCTCCACCACCAGTCTCTGTAGAGTGGCGGTCAGTTCAAGTCTCCTCCACCATCCTCTATGTGGGGTGGCGGTCAGTTCCAGGGTCTCCTCCACCACCAGTCTCTATGTGGGGTGAGGTGATGGTCAGTTCAAGTCTCTCTACCACCAGTCTCTATGTGGGGGGTGGCCGGTCAAGGGTCTCCTCCACCACCAGTCTCTATGTGAGTGGCGGTCAGTTCTAAGTCCTCCCCATCTCTTGGGGGGGTTCTGTCTCCTCCACCACCAGTCTCTATGGGGGGTGGCGTCAATGTCTCCTGTCTCTATGTGGGGGTGGTCAGTTTCAAGTCTCCTCTACCACCAGTCTCTATGGGGGTGGCGGTCAGTTCAAGGTCTCCTCCACCACCAGTCTCTTATGTGGGATTGTGGTCAGTTCAGTCTCCTCACCAGTCTCTATGTGGGGGTGAGCGGTCAAGGTCTCCTCCACCAGTCTCTATGTGGGGGTGAGCGGTCAGTTCAAGGTCTCCTCCACCAGTCTCTGTGGGGGGTGTGGTCAGTTCAGGTCTCCTCACCAGTCTCTATGTGGGGGGTGAGCGGTCAGTTCAAGGGTCTCCTCCCACCAGTCTCTATGTGGGGTGGCGGTCGAGTTTCAAGGTCTCCTCTACCACCAGTCTCTATGTGGGGTGGGCGGTCAGTTCAAGGTCTCCTCCACCACCAGTCTCTATGTGGGTGGTGAGTGGTCAGTCCAGGGTCTCCTCTACCACCAGTCTCTATGTGGGAGGTGAGCGGTCAGTCTCCTCCACCACCAGTCTCTATGGGGGTGGCGGTCAGTTCTAAGTCTCCTCCACCAATCTCTATGTGGGGGTGGCCGGTCAGTTCCAAGTCTCCTCCACCACCAGTCTCTATGTGGAGTGGCGGTCAGTTCAAGTCTCCTCCACCAGTCTCTATGTGGGGGTGAGCGGTCAGTTTCAAGGTCTCCTCCACCAGTCTCTATGTGGGGTGTGGCGGTCAGTTCAAGTCTCCTCCACCACCAGTCTCTATGTGGGGGTGGCCGGTCAGTTCAAGGGTCTCCTCACCAGTCTCTATGTGGGGTGGCGGTCAGTTCAGGTCTCCTCACCACCAGTCTCTATGTGGGGGGTGAGCGGTCAGTTCCAGGGTCTCCTCCACCACCAGTCTCTATGTGGGGGGTGAGCGGTCAGTTCTAAGGGTCTCTCCACCACCAGTCCTATGTGGGGGTGAGCGGTCAGTTCCAAGGGTCTCCTCTACCACCAGTCTCTATGTGGGGGGTGAGCGGTCAGTTTCATGGTCTCCTCTACCACCAGTCTCTATGTGGGGGTGAGCGGTCAGTTCCAAGGGTCTCCTCCACCACCAGTCTCTATGTGGGGGTGAGCGTCAGTTCCAAGGTCTCCTCTACCAGTCTCTATGTGGGGGGTGAGGGGTCAGTTCAAGGTTCTCCACCACCAGTCTCTATGTGGGGGGTGAGCGTCAGTTCAAAGGGTCTCTCCACCACCAGTCTCTGTGGGGGTGAGCGGTCAGTCCTGGCGGTCTCCTCCACCACCAGTCTCTATGTGGGGTGAGCGGTCAGTTCCAAGGGTCTCCTCCACCATCAGTCTCTATGTGGGGGGTGAGCGTTCAGTTCCAAGGGTCTCCTCCACCACCAGTCTCTATGTGGGGGGTGAGCGGTCAGTTTCAAGGGTCTCCTCTACCACCAGTCTCTATGTGAGGGGTGAGCGGTCAGTTCCAATGTTTGTCATCACCGTTGAGTGCATTGGTGTAGATCCTTATATATGTTCAAGAATTCTGTGTTTGTCTTTCAAAATTGTTCCGACCGTTGACCGACTGAAGCCCAACGCTCTACCAATGACTGGAGGTGTTTCACCTTTTTCAGAACGTTTCATTACATCAACTTTCACTGTCATTGTAATTGTTTACCTTTTCTTGGATGCACTACTATCACTTGTATCAGGGTAACATTTGGGAGCCATGATGAGGGCAGAACAATAGAGTTAATAAGCAAAAAACAACAGTTTACACTTGATCACACACGTTACTGAGGTGAGGGTAAGGTGTACTGACGCTCCCTCAAGGCTGGGTGATGCATCACTCCCCACCTGCCACTCCGCCAGGCAAACTAGTTCTCATATGTTAATACTATGATCCAGTTGTACCAATGTCTGATTCTTAAAATAAATTACCTTATGGGACCTCATTTGTTAAGGCGGGTGTTGGTAAGTCGGACGTTTGTAACTCGGGGACCCCCTGTAGTGTATATAAATGTTAAAAAACTGTAAAAACCAAGTGTGTTTATTGCTATACAGTAATATATCCAATATTTCAATATTTATACTTACAAGGCTGATTATAAATACTTTGCCTAATATAAAGTATCATTTTAAACAACTTTCAACTTCTGATCAATTTCTGTAGCATCAGCCAGTAAAGAGTTATGGCCCAATAACAGACATGTTTAAAATCTACCTAAAATCGACAAACATTTTCCAAGATGGCGGCCCAAATGGTAACCTGAGATGTCCCTCACATGATTCTCCACAGTTTGAAGATCAAACTAACTAAAAATCAAAGTGAGATTAATTCTATCCTTTTGGTAGTCAAATTTTATCTGGCTCACGGCTTAACCCAACATATCCTCCTTCTACAGACCCATCACCACCTTCAACCTACTTCCAGGCCTACCCCTTCTATCATGGTAGTTTCTACCACTCCTTCCACGTCTGGTGTGACTGTGGTGTCCTAGGCAGACAACAGTGATCAGGTGGACAACCCTCTTCATCTCATTAAATAAGACCCTTATTCACCCCCACCCCCGTGTGGTGAGTCCTGACTGCCCTCTCATAAAGTAATGTACCAAAGTTATCGAGTATTTTACTTATATTTTTCATGTGTTAGGTATTAAATTACAATAATAATGTACTATTTATCATTAGATATGCAGGTTTTTTCTCGTTTGTAAACCGATTTTGTGGTTTGGGGTTATTTTTGTCATTGGAGAACTGAACCCTATTTTTCCCCTATGTTCTTCTATTCGCTGTAAGAAAATTAATTTAATGAAAGGTTTTCAGGAATCTATCCTATTCATAGATCGAGGTATACAGTACAGGCATCCCCCGGGTTACAGAATTTTGAAATTTAGACAATAATTTGGGGTTACGGAAAAAAATTCGCCCTTACGGAATTTGGATGATTAAAACAAAAACAAAAAATATTAACCAAAATAATTTTGTGTGGATTCTGTGTAGTAGCCACAAGGCACCAGCGGTCCCACAACAACAACAGTTCATGTCTTTTTAAATCTCCAGCCAGTGTTCAGCTATGCCTCTGTCTTGTGGACTGTATTACAGGTATTGTTCTGTGTATCCTTAGTCAAGATGAGTGGAGAGAGGCCATCAAGTACTAGCAGTGGTGGTAAGAGACCATGAAAGGGTAAATTACCTTACAAACAAAATTAGATGTGTTAAGGAGGTTTGGCCAGAGGGAGAAATTGAGTTACATTGCCAAAACTTTGGGCCTTGCTACCTCACTGTCGGAACAATCTGTGTTAACAAAGACAAAATTAAGGCCAGTGCTAAAGTTGCCACTATTGTCAGCCTGTACTCTCTATTTTCATTAAAGTGATGTAATGATTAAAATGGACCTTGTTGCTCAGTGTGTGGATAGATGACCAGGCCAAGAGAAATTAACCCATTAACAGTGATTCAGGAGAAGGCTAAGAGTCTGTATGCAGATTTAAGACAGGAAGAAGGTAGTAACTCAGATAAAAACCCTTTAATGCCAACAGAGGAGGTTTGAGAGTTTCAAGAAACATTAAAACCTACACAACCTCAAGATGGTAGGTGAAGCAGTCAGTGCTGATACTGAGGCTGCTTCTACACCAGCCGCAAAAAGTCTTGCGACCTACCCCGTGCGGTTACATTTTTTGTGACAAACACATGCTTTATGGTATATAAACAGTGATAGGCCTGTACTTACCCCCCCCCCCATTAGTATTTGGTGGTCCACCCCTTGTTGTCAATCACCATTTGGAGCCGTTTTGGCATAGAATCAGACAGCTTCTTGAAGTAATCGACATCCAAATCATTTAACCACATCTTCCTGAGGGATTCCTTCAGTCTGCACGGACTATGTATCTATGGAATTCGGCTCTTGTTTCATATATGACCAAACATTTTCAATTGGATTTAAGTCTGGTGAGTTGCCAGGCCACTCAAGCACTCGTATATCATGATCACTGAGCCATTTCATTGATTTCTTGGATATGTGGCACGGTGCACCATCCTGCATAAACAAGTCACATCCATGAATGTCAAATGTGAGCAGGTGCTCATTTAACACCTCGATATACTATTCATTGTAACATTGCGAGGGAGGAAATACAAGCCTCCTCTACCCACAGCACCACTGAAGCACCCCCACACCATCACATGGTCCGGATGTATCACGGTTTTCGTGGTGTAGCGGTGGTCGAATCTGCTGGCTGTCACTGGTCGTCGTACCCTGTTCCCACTCATCTTTACACACTGAACTGTACTTTTGTCAGTCCACATCAACTTTTCCCACTGCTCTGGTGTCCAGTGTCGATATTTGCGGGCAATAGAAAGACGAGCCTTCCTCATTTTGTCCGTGAGAAGTGGTTTTATTGCGGGGCGACGACATGGCAAGTGCAGTTCCTTTTGCAGGCAATGCTGAATGGTACGCTGTGCCACATTTCTCAGGACGCCAGGGTGGTTCCTTTGCAACTCAGCTGCTGTAATGTGTGGAGTTTTAAGCACTTCTCTTCGCAGAAGGGCATCTGTAGTCTTACTAGTCTTGTGTGGACGTCCAGACCGAGGTTTGGCTGGTGGAACAGAGGCAGGAGGCAGGTCACGTGCAACGGCCTTGAGCCGGTGGATGGTGGCTTCGTTTCGTCCCGTACGTCTAAGAATTTCATTCACAGGCACCTTTTCTTCAATTAAAGTGAGGATTCTAACCTTCTCCTCTCTTGTAAGATTAGTCCCAGGCATCCTGAACACAATCAATGAAAAATATGGTGCATAAACACAGTACACTGGTTATCCACACAAGGGGGCGCTTGGAAAATCTGACACAGATCCACTCAGGACGGCAGCTCATTGAGCACTGCTGGTTTTGCTGGGTTTCCATGACACACCAACCCTGGAGAGTTGCCAAATACTGTCGGATGTCGACTGGGTAATTTTAGAGGCGGATAAACGCAATAATTCCTGCAACACTCACCCCTTGTTATAGAGGGTCAAGAGTCGCATGACTTTTCGCGGTCGGTGTAAGTCCAGTGAACCCTCGAAAACTCGGCATTTGATGACTCGGAATTTCATATACACCTACCACACCTGTGTCACCTACCATGCCTGTGTCACCTACCATGCCTCTGTCACCTACCATGCCTCTGCGTCACCTACCATGCCTCTGTGTCACCTACCACGCCTCTGTGTCACCTACCACGCCTGTGTCACCTACCACACCTGTGTCACCAACCATGCCTCTGTCACTTTCATGCCTCTGTCACCCCTGCGCCTCTGTGTCACCACGCCTCTGTCACCTACCACACCTTATAATACCCCTACCCACGCTTCTGCATCACCTACCATGCCTCTGCGTGCTACTAGCTTATTGTGTCACTACCATGCCTCTGTATCGCCTACCATGCCTCTGTGTGTCACCTACCATGCCTCTATGTCACCTACCATGCCTCTGTAATCACCTACCATGCCTCTGCGTCACCTACCATGCCTCTGTGTCACCTACCATGCCTCTGTGTCACCTACCATGCCTCTGTGTCACCTACCATGCCTCTGTGTCACCTACCATGCCTCTGCGTCACCTACCATGCCTCTGTGTCACCTACCATGCCTCTGTGTCACCTTCTACCATGCTTCACTCTTCACCTACAGTGCTGGTAAGTGTTACTTTACATTTATTAATTACATGTACACATTTTTGGGTCGATAATTGTTTATTGTTGTATTTTTGTAGGAGGGGGAAGAGCCTCAAGAAGTCAGAACTTGGGATAACTCAACAAGGCCAGAGTCCCATATGTGCCGAGTTATTGAGGGTTTACTGTATCTAGCTGAACTAAAGGCAATTATTGAGGCTGATGGATACACACCACAAGAGTACAATGTTGATGAAACAAGCCTCTTCTGGAAGCTCATGCCTGGCAACTCAAATACAACAAGGCCTTGTTATTGCTGGATAATGCTCCCAACTGCCCTATTAACCTTAATGACCTTTCACCTAATATCAAGGTTGAATACCTGCCAAAGAACACAACTGCCTTGCTACAGCCTATGGTCAAGGTGTGATTACCAGCTTTAAGGCGTACTATCTACACAGGACTTTTAGCCAACTTATAGCAGCAATTGATGGTGAGGATCAGCAACCACTTAGATTTCTCGAAACAATTTAAACATCATAAATGCTGTAAACAACATTGCTGACTCCTGGGATGAGGTGAAAACTACAACAATGAATGGTGTGTGGAAGAACATCTGGCCAGAATGTGTTCAGAATTTCCAAGGTTGTCCCCAGGACCAGACCTTGGATCAGGTACAGCAGGACACTGTAACTCTGGTAAATGGTGCAGGGTTTGAGGAAGTAGGCTGGCCAGTGTAGTTAGGCTGTTAAGAGTCGAACAGAGAGGATCTGTCCAATGAGGATCTAATATTAATGGAATAGGAGCAAGATGCTGGAGGACACCTGTACACATGTTCCATCTACATCCTGTGAAATGACAACAAAGGTTTTGTCTAAAGGAATTAGCCAAATAGAAAATCGTATTCAGACCTTTGAGACACACCATCCAGCTATGTGGAGCTGTGGAGAACCTGATGAGCAGCTATGTGGAGCTGTGGAAAACCTGATGAGCAGCTACCAGGTATATGGAGCGGTGGAGAACCTGATGAGCAGCTATATGGAGCTGTGGAGAACCTGATGAGCAGCTATATGGAGCTGTGGAGAACCTGATGAGCAGCTATATGGAGCTGTGGAGAACCTGATGAGCAGCTGATGAGCGGTGGAGAACCTGATGAGCAGCTATATGGAGCTGTGGAGAACCTGATGAGCAGCTATATGGAGCTGTGGAGAACCTGATGAGCAGCTATATGGAGCTGTGGAGAACCTGATGAGCAGCTATATGGAGCGGTGGAGAACCTGATGAGCAGCTGTGTGGAGCTGTGGAGAACCTGATGAGCAGCTATATGGAGCAGTGGAGAACCTGATGAGCAGCT